CGTGCCCCATCCTCAGCAGTGTCCAGAGGTCGGCGGGTGGCTGGCAGCCAGGCTACCTGCCCCGGAGCTCGGATGGTCCCGGCTGTCGGGGGGACATGCTGAAACGCCCGGCTGCCAGCCCCTGCCCCAGGAGAAGGCTTTGAAGCCCCCTCGCCGGTGGCACGGAGCAGTGGAGGTGCACCACGGGTGGGCAGCCCTGGTGTGGTGGGACAGACCTGGGGGCCCCTCTCCAACTTCAGCGCCCTGAGCTTGGGCCCTGGGGTGGCCACGGAGCGGCCAGCAAGCCCCTGCACAGGGATGAGCGGTGCCAGCAACCAGGGCGCTGGCCCTCGCTCGGCTTTGGTGACACCCGCCATCCCTAAAAATCCATCTGCAGAAAGCGAAACATTGGGCAACGTCATCCCCGCCTCCACCTGCGCTCTGGGTGGTGGCAGTGGTTGGCAAGGCCCAGCAAGAAAAAATGGTTAATTAATATGCTCGCTACCTGTTAGAAGTAGTGGAGCAGGTGCCAAATTCAATCACAAGATCAGGTTTGAATGTTCAAAATAAAAAAAAAAATATTTTAAAAAGCAATTTCAAAGAGGAGACAGACTACAGCCAACTTTGCATGCCCATTTTTCTACGCAATCAGGTGTAAAACTCATATTTAAGATCGTAAATTTACATATGCAGGAAGTCTGGTTTGGGGAAAAAGATTAGATATACTTACCCTGGATGGACTAGGATGTCCTGTATTCCCCCAGGACCCTGAGCTAGTTCTGTCTTCTACATCTAGGGACAAAAAAGTTCTTTAGGCTTTATTGCAATAATTCTTTCCTTTTGTATAGGCACTTTTAAATTAATGTTTCAAATTAATCTCCTGTTGCCTTTAATTAAGAATCAGGCACAGGGCTACTACGATGGTAGTGGCTTCTGACCCACTGCTTAAATTAACTCATTTAAATTCACAGCAGAAATGAACCGGACCCTCAGGAACCTGAGGTTTGAACAGAAAAATTACTTCAGCAGCTCAGTGTTTCTCGACACTTGAAGAAGTGACTGTGCTGTACCAGTTAAAATCCCATCCAGAGCCCCAGCGCAAAACCAGGTATTGTCAAACAGCAAAAATAAAACACGACAGACCAGACGAAACCTGGAAGTTAAAGGCAGGCATGTTTGGGGTGAATGGACCTCTCGCCGCCTCACCCCATCTTCGGCTGCAGAAGAGCATTTATGCACTCGTTGGTACCTCCACAAAAGCACGCTCCTAAAGCCAAGGTTTCTGTCTTTCCCTCTATCGTTTGATAGAAAACTCATTGCAACCACTGGGTGGGCAGACACTCCGGTAGTTTCAGCCCAGTCCGGGGTGGTTTTAACCATTTTCCCCCTCTGTTCGAGAGGGTATCTCTAGGAATGACGGGTCCCATCTCCTGCAGGCTAGGACGCAGTGAAACCTGCCGTCAAGGTATGGACCGAAGAACCAGGGCTCCTACAAGTTCCTCTTAACTTTGCAACAGAACACAAATATCTCAGCTCGCCATTTTCTTGTGTGCATTTGATCTGCGCGCCAGCCAGCAGCGTGCTTCCAGACCATGGCCATGAGAGCCTGGCCGGACTTCAACGCTACGTTTTCCTTGACAAAAACCCCCGTTGTAGACACATTTTGTGAAACATGGAGACCATTCGTATATAATTCCCAATTTTTCTTCTCCAATGCCACCATTTGTATTCCACTTGCCCCAAGTCTTTCCCAGTACTGACAGTCAGCCCAGTTTAGTGTTATTAAAACTCCCTTTTAACACTGAATGTTCTTTCAAATGGGAAGCCTAAAAAAACGCCCCACAAAACCCAAGACGACCCACACAGTAACTTCTTCCAAGGACACCCCAACTGCAGGGGGCTGTCCCTCTTGGGTACCCTAATCATAGAACAGAATCATGGAATGGTTGAGGTTGGCAAAGCCCTTTCAGCTCCCCCAGCCCACCCGTTCCCCTACCCCTGCCATCCCACCCCCAAACCCTGGCCCTCAGCACCTCGGCTGCCCGGCTGTTAAATCCCCCCAGGGCTGGGGACTCGACCCCTTCCCTGGGCAGCCCCTTCCAGCCCCTGACAGCCCCAAGGGGAAGGAATTGTTCCCCATGGCCAACCTCACCCTGCCCTGGCACAACTGGAGGCCAAGCAGCAGTGGCACATTTGGGTTGGCCATGCTACTTCCTAGGTGGCACCAAGGCCCGGGAGCAGCCCATGGACTCCACCCTGCAGGCCACCGCAGACACGGGCAGCGGAAGATCCCCCGCAGCGCGCTCAGGTATGCTGGGATATGCTCGCACAACCACGGCCATCGCAAAAGCTTTACTAAAACGAGTTGGGAGTCTCCCGAGACTTTCCACTTGGCTAAAAACTTAATAGCTAAACATAACACCCGTTCGGCGAGGCACTTGTGCACAGGTTTAATGGAAGCCTGTGACTAATTCCACTGAAATCATAGTTCACTCTTGTGTTAATTCAAGTAAATGAGATCACTCATGCTTAACATTAAGCACATCCTTTAGTACATTGATGGACTGGACCATACTGCTTAAATCCATTACTTTTTTTACTTACAGTATGTTAAATATCAGGAAATGTGATTGACATTGATCTACAACAGTATTATGGCACATTTCAGTGCTATTTTCCAACTTACTCCTGTGTGCCCACTAGCATCCTAATGAAATAATAAAATCGCTTGCCTTTTGCCATGCACAAGCAGCAGCTTTAATCTAATTGGAAAAAAATACGTATTTGGTCTTGCTGGCTAGAGAAACTTTCTCAGAGGGCTGCCGAAGACTACGCACGCGAGCGGCTCCCTTTCCACCTGAGCATTGGCTCCTCCAGGCTTCTCAGATCGGTGGGAACTTCAGTTGTCTGAGAAACAGGTATGGCCATTAGCACGTCAAAATACGGGCGCTGTGACCAAATCTGGTTGACTTCCCAGACAAAAAAAAAAAAAAAAAAAAAACCAAACAAACACACCACACACACAAAAAAAACCCCAAAAAACCACACCAAACAAAAAAACCAAACAAAAAAACCCCCACAAAACAGAAAACCCCCAAACCTACACATTTGTGTAGTTTAATACTTTCCCCCAATTACAATTCCTATTATCTCAATAACAGATGAACATGTTAATAGCACAAGACACTCTTAGGTAAATATTTAATTAAGCTCCAGAAAAAGAAAGAAAACGTGTATCATTTACCTGACAGATCAGATCAACCATTCTATTAGGTTAATTAGGCATATTTTTAAAAAATCATTTGTGTTATGTAACAGGCAATTAACTCTGTAGAGCCCCGATCCATTGCCTGCTAAAAATCCGTGGATATTATCTGGCTGACTCCGATGGGCACCGTCCCACCCTCGGGCACAGCTTCCAAAACCCCTTAGGGAGTAGGAGAGCTCAGCCCTCGGGCCCCGCACCAGGGGGACCAGGCGACCGCGCGGGCCCCCCTCCCACCAGGCTCCAGCCCCGTCCCACGCGCGTGTGCGACGGAAGGTGAAAGGCTCTGCACCTGGGGAGCTCCGCTTTCGCTAACAAGCAGGCGGTATTCACATAGCCCCCCTGTTAGAAACTTCATTTGTTAACGTACTTATTTTCCGTAAAAGTCAGCTAATCTGAAATAATAGGTGTTGTCAAGGCCCCTTACGCTGGCTCGTGGCCAGTGCTAGCAGCAGGATTTACATGCTAGGAAAGGTTTTTGGACTGCTATGCTGTACATTTTTATTTGTATTTTAAGAATATAGATACCGTGAGTCTTGGGCACTCCAGTGCATCATCTAAAGTAACACATTTCAAGGTTCTGTTCTGAGCTCTTCCCTTTGGGAGCCCAGCTCCAGCTGAGAGCCCACTATCATCCCTTCAACACGGGGTGGTACCCATGGTTTAACCAGCCCATGGTCCTTCTTCTGAGTCACCTTCTTCAAAAACCCTTTTTTCCGGCACCGGGAAGGGCTGCCGTGCTCCTCAAGATGCCCAGTACTTTCCAGCAGCACATGGAAATAGGGGCTTCATGGCCAACTGCTGGACGGTCCCAATGACATAGAAAGGAGCTATTTCTGTTAGCTATTAGCTATTATAACTTGCAGTTAAACACATGGGTTTGTGGCAAGCTGAATTCCCGCCCGGCTGCCCTTTCTGGTACTCTTTACTGCATTATCCCTACCTCTCCCTCGAGCCAAGCGTGCCAGTGGCCAGCAGGCACCATCAGATGCTTAAAATAACACGGGAACCACACTTACCTCAGGGCTGGGGTATTCCTCATCTCTGCAAACATCCCAGACCGAGTCCCCGGGCACACCCAAGCCTAACCTGGAGAGAAAGTCCTGCCTAGGAAAGTCCTGCCTAGGCAGGGGGAAGCACTGCCAAGTGGGCAGGACGCTCCTGGGCAGGGAGCGGGACAGCTTTTGGGGATGCATCAGGGGAAGACAGACCTTAGAGGTAAGCAGACATCGTTCTACATACCCAAGCATGCTATATTGGGTAGTGATGAGGAGACTAACCCCATAGAACAATTCTTCGATTTGCCTAGACTCTAAAATTTTTAGCCATCTCAAATCTGGCTGAAAACTCCTTGCCCTTTGCCTTGCTTTAATCTGAGCCCATATAATGCTCAAGTTCTTCCACCAAAGTTAAAAGTTCTGGACTCTGATCAGAAAATGACAAGCAATAGCTCTTGTGCCTTATCTTCAGGGGTCGCGTCTCAGCTTTCGACCAATTTTCTTTGTATTTAGACTTAAACGTGCAAACTACACTATATTACTCTGCAAAACATCAATGAGAAGGCTTAATTAAGTAACACTGACAGATAAATCCATTTCTTTCACAGTAATCAAATCAAAGCAGGTTGACATAACACAGGAACTTAATACAGTTATTCCCTTGTAATTGGAAAAAGGCCCTTTACTTCTCATTAAAGCAATCTTCTGGGTATTGGCATAATAAGAAGGCTCAGGGCTTTAATACTGCCCTATAAAAGCCCCAAGATACAGACCCCTTAAGCAAACATGCCAGATTATCTAATTCCTTGATCACAGTGGAACATGGAGTTATTGTTTTAAACTCCTAATTCTTTATCTCAGCTACAGACAAAAAGAAGGAACTCCAGTCTAACGCACGTATCACGAAGCGCCGTAAAAATGCAAGCTCTCGCTGGGGAAAAAGATGCATTTTCACCAATACCCTAGACCCTCAGCTGGGAAATTGAGAGCTGAGCGAGATGAAATCATTCTTGGGCATAAAGAGTTATAAAGAGCAAATCATAAAATACAGTTTTATTGCATTTGTGGATTTGCTAGGAAGTACTTCGTCAATGGAAGCGGAGCTGGCCAAAGCCTTCCCGCTGTCGCCGGGCTGGCAGCTCGGCCGCCTCCCACCGCCCCCGCCATCGCCACGCAGAAGGCAGCGAGTGCCCACAAGCCCTCAGGGGCTGCCCAACCTCCTCGGAGCACCGCCAGAGCGGGTTCAGCGCCCGCGCGATGGGTTACGCCGTGCACGGAGCTCTCACCCGGTCCACGCGCCTGCGGCCGTGAAGGGGTTATGTGGCTGGGCACAAGACGGGAGCGCTGGGCGAACAGATGGGCGCCTGCGCCGTGCACGCCGGCTCCTTGTCTCTTCTCATCTGGTTTACAAGCGTCCTCTTCGTGCGACCCAGCGAGCCATCAACAGCCAAAAGCCAGCTAACTCCTCTCCCCCTCGACCCAGCCCTCAAATCCACAGCGCTTCTCCCTCGGCAGAAAGGAAAAAACCC